TAATAATATTTAGTAATTAGTAATTAAAAGAGCTATATTATAATTATATTAAGTTTTGGAATCTTAGATTAATTAAAGAGCTTTTTATAGTAATATAGATATTAACTATATAGTAAATTTAGTAATTATAATTACTTAAATTATCTTTATACTATAAAAACTAATTACTAGCTATAGATTATATACTTATTAATAATAGAAATTAGTTAAAATAAGAGTTATAATTTATAGATAATTACTTACTAATTTATATTTATTTAGATCTAAGATAATATCTCTAGTTTTAATATATAATATACTATATTAAATTTATTTCTATAAATATAGTATATATTTACTATAATAAAGTTCTAAAGAAAAGATCTATCTATATAGAGGTAATTTTAACCTTATATCTATTTATCTATATATATATTATAGGTTATAGAGAGGTATAATAAGTATATAAATAAATATAAGCTATAAGATATTAAAGAATTAATTAAAAGATAAATATATATCGCTCTCTTTATATCTCTATAATTACTAAATTATAAAAACAAATAGAGTTAATATAGTTATAACTACCTATGAGTATAAGAATATATAAGTAAAGAAGAAAAAGTAGGTACTGATTTTGAATTAATCAAGAATTATACATTGATAAATATCAATATATTGGCCAGTGTTTGTTGCCTTAAAATTAGGCACCATATACAATTAGGCAAGGTCTCTCATGAATCTGAGCCTGAGGTGAGAAGGCCACATATCAAACCTACACCCTTTCGCCTCATTCTTCCAACTCCAAATTGTCTCTCCATCTCACACATCACTTCGACCCGACGCTCGCTTGGAGCTCGCCGCACTCCTCTCTTTCACACATATCCGACACGCCGTCTCTGAGCTCCAGGGCTTCGCGAGCCACTGAAAATCATGGCGCCGTCCCTCGACACTCTCCCCTTGGAGACTTTGCTCGAAATTGCCGAAATGTGCACCTGGGATATTCTTCCTTCTTCTACGAACCCCCATCCTGCAAGCTACGCAAGAAGCCATGCTGCGCTCGTTCGTACATGCCGCCGACTATACGAAGGACTAAACCGAGGTCTCTATATACGGAACTTGAAGGAAGATCCTTTAACAGCGTCATGTTTGCTATGGGCAGTAAATGTTGGCAACCTCGACACGGTCAAACGAGCTCATATGTATGGAGCAGCCCTCGACAGCAGCATCGAAGTAACTAAGGAAACTACGTACTGCCCTCCGTGGGGAGAAATTGAACACGATCCCGAAGAGCCGTTCTATAACTTTCCATACCAATTCTCGTTTATACATGTCGCGATACTGCGCAGGCACGTGGCCATTGTCCAGTATCTGCTAGACAACGGCGCTGATGTCCACGCCCCGTCCTTGAACTTCTGTTGCGACGACGGAACATACCACGGTGTCCCCTTGTTTCCACTGCATCAATGCCTCTTTCATGAGGGTGTTGACGGAGAAACATCTGCCATTGAATGGGAACCACAGGAAAACGAATCCTCTTCTCTCAGTAATAACTCAACGCAAGCTTTGGTCAATCTTCTTGTGAGCAAGGGCGCCTACATGATCGCCAAGGACTTTTCTGCAGTCTCTCATCTTTCCTCAGAAGGATACGACCGCCTCGCCAAGCAGCTTCTTAATCGTTCCGACAAGGTGTCACTCTGGGCCGGGCTGCATTTTGCCGCTTCCACGAATGACCTTCCACTTGCAACTGACCTTATACAACGTGGTGCCGATGCCGCAGCTACTGCCTAGGAGGGAGAGACTGCTTTGCATTTCGCTGCTGAGTCGTGCAAGAATGATATTCGTCTAATCCGTCTCCTCCTGCAACAACCAAACGTTGACCCAGGGGCCAGAGATGACGATGGGAGCACCCCATTACATTCTGCCTCCTGGGCTATGAATTTTGAAGCTGTGCGGCTACTCTCGCAACAGCGGAGAGTGTCGGTCAATGCAGCCAGACGTGGTGGCAAAACCGCTCTGCATCTTATTTGCGAACGTCCATGCACAGATGACGCAGACACAGATGCATCATTAGCAACCGTGCAGCATCTAATTGACGCAGGGGCCTCTCTCAATGCAAGTGCGAGAGATTCCGGCACTCCTCTGTATGTCGCAGTCAAGTCGGAGAAGTTTGAGATCGCTTCGACGCTTATGCGGGCTGGTAGCAATCCATGGCAGGGAGATATCATCTACCAATGGAAACGCATGAAGCCACATTCTCAGACCAAGTTTATCCGCGGAGTGATCAACGCTGGAATTGACGTCGAAGTGCCTTGTTACCTGCCAATGCCATGGGGGCACTTGGTCGCAACACCACTTTATGTTGCCGCACGTAAAGAAAACACAAAATGCATGAAGGCTCTATTTCGAGGTGGTGCGCGGGCGGATTCGGTTGTGGCCGATTCAAGGCCAAATTCCACCGAGCTACGCGATCACAGAACTCTTCTTGGGCAAGTACTATACGACTTTCTCGGCGAGCCTGGCGACTTTTCCATTTCGGAGCCAAATATTTCCCCCAAACAAAAGAAAGCAATCTCCTTGCTGATTAAGAAGGGGGCCCGGCTAGGGCGAGTATCAGGCTCATCGTGTTCTTGGATGACAGCACTAGGATATGCCGTTGTGGCAGATCAGCGTGGGAATCCTGCGCTTCTCCATCTAATCCTGAAACTTTCAACATCAAAAAACATTGGGAAGCAGTTTTTAGATGATTTCATCGACAAGAGTGCCGAGACGACAGCTAGTTCACGAGTGAGACTACTTGCGTTCCGAGCTCGTCTGTTCTCTTGATTTGCCAACAAATCAACACCGGAACTTTTCGCAATCCGAGTTCAAGGTCCTAAAATACCACTAGATTTGGTCTTTGAGATCTTGGCATCTTGCTTTGGTAACAAGATGTCAGGCTGGCGAGTCGCTGGGCTGCTCGGTGGTTGAGGATAGTTGTATGATCAACAGATCGCAACAACCAATTATGCTTGCTCTCTCAAACGATGGAGGATCTTTGGCACAGGAACCTTAATTTAGGGAAGGGAAAAGGAACTATACGTTAGGCTTTTAACAATTTTGCGGTAGAACTGAAGTTTGCAGTTGGAGTAGTCTTGACAATGACATGATACCATGTTCCGACTCGAAGGAAGATTTAGCTACAAGAAACAATAACAGTATGTGCTTTAAGCAATCAGAAAATAACTAAATGAGTATTAGCCCATTCAAACAATGTGTATGTTTCCTATCGATGCAAAATATGTCCGGTTTGATCTAAACCACATTGTTCAATATTCTTGCCATGACTACCTGCCCTTTACCGAAAGCAGATACACGCTGCCAGTTGAAGCATCCACGTTCGTGGGTGCGCCTAGGTACAGAATGTCAGTGCCATCTGGCCTCATAATAGCCTGTAGCCTCTGCACGCCCTTCCCCTTGACCGGGGCGAGTTCAGTGTTTGCCCACGCCGTGGAACCCGACTTCTCGAGAACCCACGTGCTACCTCCAGTTCGACAGTAGTAGATTCGGGCAGTAGTTCCATCGTGCGTGAACCCCACGGCAGCACTTGTGTCCTGGTCAGCGTATAGGATCTCCCGAGACCACGGCTGGGATCCGCTACCACCGACTGCTCGCCGTACCTGCCATGGTCCACCAGTTGCATTTTGGAAGCGATACGCATGTTGGACATGGACAGTGCCAGCCGGCTGCTCATAGAGTGCCAACTTGGCACTTTGCAGGAGTGGTGCTGCAGCGCCATTGTCACCATAGACTTCTCCGCTGGTGAGGGGTTGAAAAACGACGTTGCTGGTAGACTGAGTAACAGGCACGGAGACAACATCACCAGTAACGGTCTTGAAATCTCCGGAAGAAGGCTTGTAGCGGAGATAGCTGCCCTCGTGTCGTCCGGCAGAAGCTGGGTACTTGGACCACTCCCACTGCAAATGAACATCCCCATCGGATGAAAACTGAATGTCGTCTGGGTACACCGAATAACCCTTTCGATAGGCCCAGATGGTAACACGGGACCATGTCTTCTTTGTCGTCTCGTACTTGTAAAGATAGCCGCCTCTGGCAACACCGTCTCCCGAGTCGCCGCGCACAGCAAGCCAGAGGTTACCCGAAGCGTCTCTCTTGAGCACTGGATAGGTGATGAGAACACCTTGATCAGCCATGGTGCTACTCTGGTCGACGAGGCTTGCGCTATACGGGTCGTCGGACCGATAATATCTCCAAGCATTGTTGTGCATTGAAGTGAAGACATGGACAAAGCCATCACCGTCGAGAGCGATACTTGGTTGGTTGTGGCCCGCATCATCAGCGAACACAACACAATCTCCAGAAGCTGTCTTTTTCAGACAGTCGCGGTTGATTGCGCCAGAAGTCATGTCTCGCCTGGCAACCATGACGTTGTTGGAGGAGGAGGAGCCCGAGGTTGGGTTCCGCAGGTACGCGAGCCACTCGAACCCGCCAAACTCATCAAGTGGAGTCCACCAGGCTGCCACGTTTGTATTGTCTGCATTCTCCGTGACCGTTATGAGGCTACCTGGCGTGATGGCCGCAGCTGCAGCGTGTATAGTGGCACATAAGTGCGCAAATCTTGTGAACTTCATCTTACAAAGTGGGCAGCTTCGAGTGGAGGGTAGGTGGGATTGCAAGACAGTGGTATCATAAGATCCGAGATAAGATTCAACAACTTCATTTTATACGCACAAGATAGTCGCATGGATGTTAATATTATACCGAGCATCGTGAGCTCCCCCACAGCGGCTGAAGACGTGGGGAAGTCGTATTGTCCGGGGATGAGATTCCCTCCATGTCGTCAACGGCACCGCCGCTCGGGATTGTTGACCGTTGTTGCTTCCTACAAAGTTCCTCGTGACAAAGACGCACTCCAATTAAATGCAGACGGAACGCCCGATGACCCACGACGAATACAAGCTGCAGTACTAGTGTGAGCGTAGATCCCCTATCTATGTTTACGGCTTGCCTATCCCGCATGTTGCGGGGAAACGCATGACAGGCAAAATTGGCTTTCTGCAGCAATTCCCCGGATTCCTCCGCCTCTAAGCTCATTCCCACCATCGCAAGCATGGATCTTCTAATGAAATCGCGGAGTGACTCCGGCTTGTCATAAGTGAGGACTTATCTATAGCGCCAATCACTTATCTAAGATTTGCCATCCGACAGCCAAGGATAGATCACGGCTAATAAATCATTAAATTTCATGCTTCTACGCAGTCTGTCGTCTTGTGCTCTAACAGCTAATCCACTTGCCTAGCCTCCTCCATGTTGCCCTGGAAGTTGAGCACACTTTCTGTGAGTGTCGTGTCCAGCCTTCCACTGCCCGATCCCATCATTGGGAGCCCAAAGGTCTCTACACCTAACATTGGAAGCGGATACTGGTCGAAGAGACCAAATTGTGTCTGAGGCGATACGTCGAATGTATTCAGACCAGACCAAACGTCCCCATCTAGCATAGAAGACAAGTCTAAATTATCGAATAACGGAGTGAACATGGGATCTTCCGGCTGTATTTGGCTATCAGACCACGTAGAAACCGAGACTGGCTCAGGTTGTGCATGAGTGCCGTACGTTGGCGAACATCCATGCTCCTCGTGGCTTGACCTATGCCTGTGTACCTGAGAGCCTCTTGTGCTGTGATCTTTAACTCCCCATAGTCTCTCATCAATAGCCATTCTAGGCTGAGAAGAGTCGGCATTTTCAGGGCTCAAGGACGTTGCATTGTGGATTGAAGAACTAGTTCCAGGCGAACCCAGCTCTTGCATAATTGAATCTCTGTACCGACGATCACGCATGATCCTATTCCCACCACGCTTTGATCTTTGGCCGGAAGAAGACTCCTCGATTGTATCCACGGCAGCTTCAACTAGTCGCACCAGAGCCTCTTTCGTTCGCGCCATTTGAACCCAACGACCGGTGAGTTTCTCCAGCACCACTTGCCACTCAATAGTACAACTCTTGAATGATGCCCAGTCCGTCTGTGCTTTTCGTCTTGCATCCGGGCTCTTCAATACAAGGAAGAGCAATGTCAGTCCACTCATCAACTGGTAATGAAGATCTAGCCAAGTGAACTCGGATGGGCCTTTGTAGACGCGGATGAAGGACAAATGCACCATGCTCTTGGCTGAATCATATGCGGCTAGTAATGATTCCGAAGATGGCAGGGGACCGTGAGAGAGCGGTCGGTGAAGCATGAGATTGGCATTTTGGTACCAGTATCTCCACCAATCCATGCTGTGATTCTCATTGTCAATCAGTTTCATAGACTCGTCTTGCCATGAGAGCAACTTTGCTGCCATCATGGCCTTCCAGGTAGCGATATCAGAGTTTTCATCGGTACTACTGGAATGAGGGCCTTTGCTTGTATGTAATCGGTATACTATTTCGCTCTGAATCCGCTGCATCCTGAACCAGTGGAGCACCTGACTTCGTTTCGACTGGGGCAGAGATCGAGAGGGATACTCAACGTCGATATCATCGTCGTCTAGGAAGAACGGCCTGCCAAGCATGGTGGCCAGGCTTCGGTCGAATGTATAGGTGACCCAGAATAATCTTCGCTTCATATCTTGGAGCTCCTCGTCCGGCCCATCGTTTTCATCCAGGCCATATTTGATTGTCTGCTCCGAGTGGAATCCCAGATCAACGCACATACGCATGCAAAGCCCCGATATATACCATACCGGTGCGGACTTAGAGCTCACGATTGACGACAGCAGAAGTAGTAACAAGCATTGCAACGTTCTGTGTGT